GGGGAGGTTGTTATGCCTTTTTCCCTATTTTTTAAAGATAAATCTGATAATTGTCGTCAAATGTTTCCAACTACTCCCTCCATTCCCATTTATGTGGCACCGTTCAGCTTTCGAGAGTCAAAAGAGTTTTTCTTTGACCACATTTTTCATATACCTTTAAAATATTTTGATGTGTTAATTATTGTGACTTATACTCCCTCGGTCCCAATTTATGTGGCGATGTTTGACACCGCACGAGTTTAAGAAAGAACGGAAGACTTCTAAAACTTGTGGTTTAAAATAAACCATAGATATTTGTGTGGTTGCAAATCAATTCATTAAGGGTAAAGTAGGAATTTTAAAGATAAATTGTTCCTAAAAAGGGAAAGGTGACATTCTGTTTGAGACTGACTAAAAAAGAAAGAGTGCCACGATAAATTGGGACGAAGGGAGTAGTACTTTTACATAGTTTCCAAATATGTAAATTTTTATTTCAAAAAAACTTAAACATTCTATGTTCGGATTCACGGTCAAAATTAAGAACTTTGATCCGAATGGTGGCACATAAATTAGGACCGGGGGGAGTAATAACTAAGCCAAAGAAATAGGACAGAGGGAGTGTCGTGTTTCTATATTAGTCCGTCATGTTATTAGATAAGGATGAACATAGAAATCTGGGTATAGAATCAATCATCCGTGTGAAGTAAAACAACATGAAACATAAAAATGGCATTCCAGATTGTAAAAAGGATGCAATTCATTATCATTAGTATGAAGAAACTCACCCATCGCATTTATACAAGTTATCTCCATCAAGCCATTCTCTTGCTGTGAATTGATTTAAGCATTCCTCCAAAGATTCAGCATCCCCATGAATCTCTACGGTCAGATCCATCATATTCTCAAACTGATCTGAAACATTATTGCATTCTGTACATATGACCTAAAAATATAAATAACTCAGTTAGCCAGAGAAGGAAAGGGAAGAGATCAAAATAATACAAGAGCATGAACACGTGCAGCTTGAAATATCAAAAAAGCACATAGAAAATATTTTGATGATGCAACATAAATTAAGTCGTATGTTTCTTTGGATAATTACATGCTATGTCTTCTACATCTTAAATTAAAGTTACCTGAGATTGCAGGTGACCACCAAATATGTGTTGAATAAGTGTTGTCTCCTGTGTGTTAGGAGGAACAGCTTTCTCTCCACCAAATTCATCAAGGCACACAGATTGCATCGTGTCAATAGCAAACCTATAAAACAAGGCAATTTTCATTATTTCGTGTAAAATATGATTCGTGAAACAGCCCATGGTTGTTTCACATTGAACACTACACTGGAAAATATTTATCACACGTACTGTAAGATACTCATCGACTTTACTATACCAAAGAAACACACCTCATAAATTCATGGGCATCCTCCTGTTTACCATACCCAAGATTACCACCAATATTAGGCAAACGTGAAAGTATGTTAATTGGTGAGAAGGGCTTCTGACTTCGACTAGCCTGCTCTACATGGCGTTGAAATTCACAAAGGAAGCACCAACCATTCCGCCTACCTGAGGGAAGAGTAGAAAAAGTGTATAATAAAAAGAGCTGTTTTGATTACTTCAAAAGAAGCACTAGTTCGTATACTTGTTCTAATGAACGCAATTACATTCTCTCAGGTGGCCTTTCTCCAACAAGTAGGCAACAAGCGGCTTAGTGTAAGTCAGACATTGTAGAACCACATTCGCAAAGCAACTGCATAAACCAAAAAGAATATATTTAAAATGTAGACACAAAAGCCAAATGGCATACTAAATAATACTTGGTTGCTAGAGTCTAAAATGAGGGAATACCTGTTTCCACAATTTAGGAGCCCACAAGGTGGGAAACCTGGGTTATCCCAGTTAAAAAGTTCCAAGAATTCCTTGTATGGGAAAAGTACCTAAATGATTAAACCAAACTATGGTCAGGTGTTTTATAACACAAATGCATAGTTGTGTAATTAGCTAAGACGGCGTGTACCTTCTTCGAATGGTCAAGTATCAGCGAAGCTGCAGAAGAACTGCCTTTCCGAAAATCCTTGCATTTGAATTTATGCCCAGAATTCCAATGAGATCTTTGGCAAGCTTCAGAGCTATGAGAGAAAGAAAGAGAGCAAAAACAATCAGTCGTTAACCAATAAGGCACTCCAAATTATAAAAGGAAACGTTAACAGATTGTGGTCACCCCTGAGCAGTGTTTTTAAAAGTGAAAAGCACAAAGAAGTGACAAGGTTCATGGGGCTTTAAGCAAAAAGTAGAAGTAGAACACACGCTTCTTTGAAGTGAAGCGCAAGTTACATAAAAATAAAAATAAAAAGGGAAAAGGGTCAAAAATGCCCCTGTACTATACGAAATTGATCAAGTCTACCCTCCGCTATACTTTGGGTCTCCTCAAACCCCTGCTTTAGAGAAAAGTCTCTACAAACTATCGCCACGTATATTGTTTATACGGTCAAACTGTAGATTTAATACCAAAGTAACCACTGTGCACACCAAGCTTGAAGTGATGGTACTCTATCAGGTCGAGGCTCTGTACGTTATAATTAAGTATAACGTAGAACAGATTGTGGTAGATCCAAATTATGAAATTACACAAAATTAACTGGTCAACATAGTCCACAGTAAAAGCTAAATTAATATATGGCATCCAAGATTTATATTTTAATATACATACAAAAAGGTTACTTAGTTTGGGCTCTATATTCCTGTATAGATATTGCGTATATGTGGCTGGGAGAAGCAGTGTTGTCACAGGCGAAAAGCGAAAAAAAGCATTTAAGTCTATTGAGGCTTTAAGCGCAAGTGCAAATAAAGAGCGGGTTCTAACGAAGAAAGGTACAGTTGAATGGAATGATGAGAATCTAAATGTAGCTCAAAAACAATAATTATAAACCCAAGTAATCCCTCCATTTCAATTTAGATGAGGTAGTTTGACTCGGCACGGAATTTAAGAGAAAAGAGGGAGACTTTTGAAACTTGTGGTCTTAAAAGCTTAAGGGGTAAAAGCTTTGTGGGGCCATGACATTTGTGTGGTTATAAAAGTTTCTCATAGGGGTAAAATGGATAAAATAAAAAGTTTAAAGTTGAATTATTTTCAATTATAGAAATGTGCCATTCTTTTTGGAACGGACTGATAAGGAAAGTGTGTCATCTAAATTGAAAAGGAGGGAATAATAATTATCTTTTAGAATGGTTATATAGACAAAAGAATTGAAGATATTAAATTAGGTGAATTACTTATAGCTCATTGTCACTCTCTTCAAGACAAAGCCCCTGGCAATGGGGCACACGCTTTAGCGCCTTGGAGTCCGCGCTAAAGCTTCGCTTAATCTACGTGAAGCGCACAGATACTTTGCATCTAGCTTGAGGGCCTAAGCACACCTTTTTTTTTATAATGGTAACATAGGGCCTAAGAACACCTCAACTAAGCCTTTGACAACAATGTCGAGAAGTTACTTTATATGGCCAGGGCTCTATATACTACTATACTAGTACACAAGAAAATAGTAGAAAAGTGTAATCATCCATTTATAACGAAATTGTAGACACACACAAAATTGATTGTTATGGAATAAAACATTGATAATGTAGTGCTTGTTATGTGGTTAACAATAATGTCGTCAATAATCATCTTAGTATTGTCAAACAATGAGTATTAAAACATGGATTGCTATTAGAGGGATTGCCTACAGGATGTTCCTGTATTCCTAATACATGTATTCTTATTCATATCCCATCCCGCATAAAATAACACAAAGGTATTAGCAATGCAGATTTCAGTCCATAAACTAATTGCCGAAAGTTTTATACCAACAATCATATGTTGAATATGCAGATTTTAAATTAGTAAAGCAGTGTTTTTTATTGCAATCCAAAGTCCAAACATTGTATTAGTGTACCTGATTATTAATTCTTATGCCGCCAGCACCAGACCAGTGAATTTACTATACAAGGTAATATTAAACATAAAACTAACATGTAATAATTGTATAAAGTTAGATATTATTATCAACAGGAACGAGCTTAGCATTACCAGTATTTAACCATCTTGCAACGAGAGCATTGCTTAGAGGTGATACTACCGCATACCCCGCAACCTTCTGGCGTTGTTGTCGGCGGCTCCTCCATTCTCCGATCACCAAAACTCGCCGTCGGCGGCGAAGCAGCAGAATCAAAATTAGACTCGTCGTCGACGAGAAAGTACTTGGAGGCGGTAGTCTTGACGAGGTAGAGGAGTGAAAATACGACGACTATGGCCGTCAATACAAAGTGCAAGTAGGAATTCAGATCCACTGCTACATGCATTAGAGATTTATACTTTTCCTACTACTGCGGGAAAAAAATTAAAGCTCTGTTCTTTATGAAAAAGCGCTCTCTCATATATGGTGAGCTAGGGTTTCAATTCCTGCATTGAATTGGAATTGGAATTGGAATAATTTGGGGAATCTGGAGTGGAATTTTAAATTTCTAGAATATGAAGGAAGGTTTTTTCTTTTTCTTTTTTGTTTTCTCTATTAAATGTTTGATTGATTGTTCAATTGGTTCTACAGTTTTACTTTGTCAGCAAGCTAATGTGCACCTTCTCAAAACCAAAAAAACAAAAAAGAAAAAATAAATAAGAAATGCCTATTTATGAACTCTCTGATAATTACATTTGGACTTTTTATATTTCATATTTTTGGCTTTTTGTTTCTTTTAGTGCGTATTATTTGCTTCATCTATTGAAAAGTCTATAGTTTTGGGACTTTCATACATAACTTGGGGATTATGTGTTCAATTTGCTTTTTTAAATTTTTTAATTAGTATCCTGCATTGTTATATTACAATCTTTGCTTCCTTTAAAGCTAATAAATTCAGTTTATTATGAATCTTCTTCCTCTTTCCATAGCACAACAAGTTTTAATCTTTTCTTTTCTTCCCTTTTTTCAAAACAAAGCATTTCAAAATCTTTTTTTCTTCTTCTTATTGTTGCAAAGAAAATGTAAAATTATTTCGACATGAATCGAACTTTTACTATTTGCCCAAAAGATCAAATGCCCTTAAACGCGTTATTATGGTTGGTAGATTCATGTTATAAAACAATAAAAGAAGAAGAGTATTGCAGAGAAAAATAGAGAGAGATAATTTTTATTGTTTTTAGATGATTCACAATGAAATAGAACCCCTCTATTTATAGGAAAAAAGTGACTTAGCCACCAAGTAACAACCCTAAAATCTCTCTAAAATATAGACATTCACCTTAAATAAGATTCTATTTATAACACTCTCATTGAATGTCTATTCAAGAGATAATGTGTCTCGTTAAAACCTTAACTAGAATAAAACCCAATGGGAAAAAAAATTTAGAGAAGGAAAAAGAGTTACACATATCTAACAATACGCCTTTTGGTTGCCTGGTTAAAAACCTTGCAAGGAAAACCCAGTGGGACAAAACCTTGTAAGGGAAAATGACTACAACGTGTATTAACTCCCCCCTGATGAGAGCATCAATTCACATCCTTGAGCCTTCACATTCCAATCATGTGCATCATCTTCAAAAGATCGTTGGTAGAGATTTGATAAATAAATCAGCCATATTAACTTGAATGAATATGTTGCACCTTGAAATCATCATTCTTGAGAGATATGTAATGTCTTCATAAAATGCCGTGGAATGACATTTTCAATATCTCCATAGAGGTATTCTTACTATCACATTATCATGCTTATAGTTATAGCAAGATACATATGTGCACAACTTGCACTTAGGATGTAGTACTTCATGACCATGAATTCTATATATGCTTTACGCAATTTAAATCCTTCAGGGATTGTTAAGTCATATAAGCCAAATAAATAGACTTTAGATGCATATCAAGTTTTCATGTCATGCTAGACAAACAAGATACCGAAAACTGATTGCACATATCATTGACTTTATACTTTCAAGTATTTGAACTACATGTTCAAAACTACATGTCTTTCATATGAAACCAATTCTATTCGAAATTGTTTCTCCAGACTTAAGATCCTTATATATATTTAGCGCTATCATAGATGTCGTCGACGAATATTTTATATTGGTTCCAATGTTTTTCATAAAGACATAACATAGAGATCTCGTCATTCATTTCAGGTACCTGAATCTCTCATGCAATTTTATGAAGTGTTATGTCACGTGATCTTCTAGATCATCTGCCTCCTTTATTATGATCATTTGATCATTTTCTCATCTTCTTTATCAAGAAGTTTATTTGAAACCGATTTGTCTATATGCTTTAAGTGCACCATAGACTTTGTCCTTCTAGGACTTAATAGGAGCATTTGCAGTGAGAATATAGTTACTTTCTTTGGGCCAGCAAATGTGTCTGGCATGCTTTGCAATATATTGAAAATGAATTATCTTTTTTATGAACCTCAAGTTCATATTATCTTATTCGAGGATCTAGATGTACCAATGATAATTCATTCCACGTAACTTTTTCTCAATTGTTTATCATGTCTCCCCCTCATGTTAGAAAATCTAACTTTCTTCCTCAATTTTGGAAACCTACCTTTGTGTGTTATGGTGTTAATCAAAATATACACCGCACATCAATAATAATAAGATAAAATTACTTGATTTCTGACCCTAAACTACTTGTGAGGGGAGAATGTAATATACTTTCGTATATAACCTATATCAAACTGATATAGATAATTTTGTTCTCATAAGCAATAGTTTAGCTATTAAGTGGAGGCACTCAATAAATTATGTTGCTAAACTAACTGTGATGTAAACCAACTTATCAAGATGAACTTCTTGAATAGAAAATCTGAAAATTATGCTCGGAATTAAATTATTGAGCAAGTTACCTCGCAAAACACCATGTTGCGGGTTAACAATAATGGCACATGTAACCATCTCATAGATGCATCTTATGTGGTATACATGGCAGGTGAATGAGCCCATATTCACCTTTGATATTTTCAGCATTCATGGGATTCAATCCCAATTTTAGTTGGTCTATTAATTAATGAGAACAAGCAATATAAGAGAATCCGTAAAGAACTTTCTAGTTCTTTAATATTTACCCATGTGAATTCTCTATTATTTTTGCACATCATACTTAAATTGATATGGCTAAACCAATTATGTCAACTGAATAAATTATCAATATTGATAAACTTCAGATTTATACCATGACGTGTGCAATTATCAATAAACTCCAAGTTTATTATGATATGGGGTTTTATATCAATAAACTTCTACTTTATTGTGGCATTCTTTTGTTTGTGTAGCACAAACTGGAGAATAAAGCGGGTAGCTTTTCACATACATATTACCCCGCTACAAGTTTTAGTAATAGAAGATATTAAATCTTTCATTTATTTATAGTCAGTATGACCAACCAGTTTCGCGAATACTTTAGAAACCAAATAAGTTTATTTGAGACTTACTACGATAATTTTATTTCTACAAAATAGTAATAATTGGCTCTTCCAGAGCTCTCAATTAATTTTGTACTGCCACATATTCATCAACATCCATATGGTGCATATCTCTTTTAAAGAGAAAGTTATACCATTATAGTTATGGTCAAAATTATATGCAAGATAAGTTTCTTGCATTAATGTTATTCTTTAATAATCACATTACCGAAATATTTTGGCGTGCTTACGTGACCAGTGACCATTCATGCCATAATAATAACATTATTTTCTTATATCATCTCAAACCTCCTTCTAGAGGTGAGTGTGGTATATTCACTACCACTAGCACATTCATATTCTTCCAAGAATTAATATATATTCATAAATCAGATGCTGTCACATTCACATCATGAATGGACCATAATCATCTATATGTGCTTTATAAAATCTTATGTCAAATCGATGACAAATATTACTTTCACAGAGTGAAGGATTATTTTGAGAGTCCTTATTATTCTCATTATCACAATGATGACGATTATAATTTCATCTATTGCCACGTCCACATCCATTGATACCTTCACGGTAATAATTTTGTCTTCTTTCAAACTTATCACATATTGCTATCACATTCTCTTAAGGTAATGAGAATGAAGCAAATTCAATGGGACGGGTTTTCACTTCATGTGCTCACGATCATACATGACTTTGATCATGGCAAGACATAGAAATTTTACCACTTCGAGTGGTTATAATTTCCTACTAACTCCATTAGAGTTATAATCAAAATCTATTTTCTTTGCTTTTTAAAATTAAATTATATAATAAAAGAGAAAAATACGGTAAAATACATACCTTAAATCCAAAATTTAATCATGAAGGAAGTTCATCGAATAATTGATAATCTTTATACTCAATCCCAAGGTTTCTACTCAATTGGTTAGAGTCTCGTGCTGATAACGTGTTATAAAACAATAAAAGAAGAAGAAGAAGAGTATTGCAGAGAAAAGTAGAGGGAGAGAATTCTTATTGCTTTTGGATGATTTACAATGAAATAGAACCCCTCAATTTATAGAGGAAAAGTGACTTAGCCACCAAGTAACAACCATAAAATCTCTCTAAAATATAGACATTCACCTTAAATAGAATTCTATTTATAACAATTCACAGTTTCTCATTAAAAAAGAAACTAGAGTTATGGCGGGTAGAGGCGGACCCACGATTTTTACGCGGCGGGAGCACCATATTCTACTCAACCAGTGCCCCTTAAAGGTTTTTAGTGTTCAAGGTGCCAAGTGCTTTCAATTAACCATTTTCAAGGTATATACATATACATATACAAGATTTCTGTCGAATCTTACGGGGTCTGGTGACCCCTTACTATATAACACACAGGCCCGCCTCTGATGGCAGGGGCAATGAAGCCCACCTCATTGAACACATTGGCTCATGTGGTTCAATTGTGAGATATTCCATTTGTCACGACCCCAAACCCGGTCGTGATGGCGCCCAACAATATTGCTAGGCAAGCCAGACCACAATCGTTCCCAAATTAACCGTAAACCTCAAACCGACAATCTAAAGAGATTATAATAGTTTTAGAATAATAATCCAATATTTATAATAGAATTATACTGAGAAAAATACGAAGTCTGATAAAATGCTCCCAAAGACCTGGAGTCACGAGTCTAGAGCCTCTAAGACAATCTGAATAACAATATCTGAACGAAAATACTCAAGTTTGGAAATGTATATATAAATAAAGCTGAAATAGGAAGAGTAGTCAGGTCCTGCGAACGTCAAGCAGCTACCTCAACAACTCTGATAAGCTCTGGGAAACAAAGACTGCTCAGCTAAGCCTCCGGTGTACCTGAATCTGCACACAAGGTGCAGGGAGTAGGGGTGAGTACTACCGACTCAGTGAGTAATAAGCATATAAAATGTCTGAAGATAAGAAATCCACGAAATGCCACAAAGTAAAGCTAAAACTAACAGTCCAACACCTAACTACGAACTAACAGCAAAACAACTCAAAATATATCAGTCAAGTATAATGTAAGGATGCAATGCAATGCACATGACCGCTACGGCGCGTAGCCCGATCCATTTAACGTCGACGGCGCTCACTGGGGGTGTGTACAGACTCCGGAGGGGCTC